TACAACGCGACACGCCATAGAAATTCTGTCTTGTTGACTCTCATCCTTTCTTCAAGGGATGTCGTTACAACACTGGCGCTGTCGGATCCTGCGCAAACTTCCAGCCAGAAAATTCGGTATCGCTTCGGGCGTCGGAGAGGGGGCGACGGGTTTGAAAGACTGGCGCGGAAATTGCCGGCTGACCTAATCTCGCCGGCGCAGCTTTTCCGCCAGCCCATGGAAAATTCGAGGCTTGCGGCTCGTGTTCGACTTCTTGTCTCTCACGTTTCCTCGTGCGCGCGTCGTCGAGATGGGTACACAAACACACACATACACACGCACACACACATTCCACGCTACTTTCTGAAAAAAAAAAAAAAAAAAAGGAAAAGCTTCCAACGTGAATCGATGCGCGATAGGCGTGTCTCCTTCAGGTCGTGAATCGAGCGTGTCTCCCGCGCTGACAGCATGGAGAAGTCGCGAACATATACGCTCCTGACTCGCTTCGAAGAAAGTCGTTTCATTAATTCCGTGTATCTGTTTGCTACAGAACAAGCTCCCGATTTGGATAATCGAGCGAAGCTCGCTGCCGTGGATATCCGGTTTTGGTTTGGACACACGCCGTTGGGTGCACGTGATTTTGCCCGGCTGCGTCTGAACCCCATCTCAGAAAGTCGTACGGAGAATCGAGGTTGTCATGCTTTGCCGACTGTTATTGTTATTATTATTTTTATTTGCGTTGGACCTGGCATGTATATTAAAATTTGCGCGTATGTTACCGCTCGGAAATACACGAACGCTTGATTCATCTTTCAATTAGTTATTCTTTTTATTTATCATATAATTAGTATATTTATTATATAATTAGTTAGTTGATACTGGATTTTTGTTACTGTGGCTTGAATTTTATTTACGTATTTTTGAACTTTTGCTCCCGCTCAGTATCAAGTAAATGCGTTAAACGAGAGACTCGATATCTATTCTTTGACATTTACCTTGTCAATTTTTGATAGGATACGCAATAATTTACTCTATCAAACGATCCCATAAATTATGTAATTTCCATGACAACGAAACTTGTCACGATGGATACCATTTTGTACAACTGAAATACAGAATTTAATAGAAGAGACGTCGCCGATCGATCCTACGAATAAATCCTCGTTGTATTCTCATCCCACACACGGGGACGTGTTTGAATCTTAGTTATACAGGATACAGGTAACTGAACGAAGATTCGAAATTAGCCGGTACGCGGTTGAACCGGCAGGAAATATCAGCAACAGCGTGCGAAGCCGCTGTCCCCTCCGGCGAATCCCTTTAAAACGCACTTTCAAAGCTGCAGTCGCGCGAATCGCGGTACGGGATATTCACGGTCGAATTAACGCGATAACTTTAACCAGCCAACCCTCGACTGCGAACGTGTCTTTACCATAAGGCCGAGGGAGTTGAATGCTCGAGCGTCGTAGTTTTCTGCCTTCAGCAACCCTCTCCCACCCTTTCCTAGTCCAGAGAGTCTAGCCTAGAGACAACCGAGTGTAATCGACTCTCTTTCGTCAATTAGCGAGAAGTTAGGCGGAAGAAGAGGATCAACGGTGGCTTGCGAGCCCCGGATACTTCGGAGACAGACAATTTGCCGCGAGTTCGGCGTTCTCGGCGACTAAGGCTAAGCCGGAAATTACACGGCATCTCGAGGAATTTTCGCGGGATATCGGGGGTATCGACGCTACAGAACAGGCACGCGTGCTCCACGCGCCAATTTCGTCCCGCTTTCGAGGCACTTTTGCCTTGGCAAGATCGTAAAATTTCCCGGATACACCGTCACGTCTCGAGAACACTATAAGACGATCAAACACGTCCGCTCGTCTTTCAGAGATCCCTATTAAATCGCCGCGCTTTATGAAGACTTCGTGCTCCACTCACGATTATCGCGACAACGTCTTCGTCTTTCGTTCGAGGACGTTTCTGTGCTTTACGACTCTGGCGCGGCGCGTTCGAACGCGTTGAATTCCATCGACGAAAGCGCGAAAGAATCGACTGGCAGACTGGCGAGGAATAGGAAATTTCTCGGATCCCGTCAGAAGTTGTAATTCACATGTAAATAGAGCTGATGGCTCGATCGTTTTTCGTAAAATCGCTTCTGCTTCTTGTTAATTCTTTCTTCAATTTTGCGTTGAACAATTTTTTGTTTGCCAAATTCTACGTGAAATTGGAGTACAAAAATTCGTGGATTATAATAAGATGGAAAGCAATTGTCCATCTTGTTTGGAAGAAATAAATTTCGAATCTTTCGAGTACGATAGAAACAGATCGAGACCATGTACGTATTTTCTCAAAACGAAGCTCTTCAATGTTCGTCGCGCATACAGGCAACAACAATGTTTTTCTTCCATTCGATTTGTTCATTTATTATTATTATAATAAAACGATTGGTTTTCCGTTAAATCTCAAGGAGATAACACGATGATTAGACTCAATGTTTCAAAAAAAAGGAAACTCTAAGATTTATTCATCGCTATTTTTTCTACAATTTTATTCGACGAATGAAAGTATCATTGCTCGATCGTCGACGAGGGTTCAAAATCGCGCGCACATAAGTCACCAATGTTCCCTCGCAACTAAACTTTCGAAATCCTTATCACCCTGTACTTTTACGAACTCGCTCGTGTCTGGTCACCACGAATACGTAAACTTTGACCGTTGACCGATTTCACGATTTCCGTATATCTGCAGGGCAGCTCTCTCTCTCTCTCTCTCTCTCTCTCTCTCTTCACGAAGAATGGAGAGAAGCAAGAGCTTCCTGCGAGAAACTAAACACGTTTGTCCAGCACTTGGAAATCCGGATCATCCCTCGGAGAACAGGATGTTTCGCTTCTATTACCACCCTCTTCGTTTTCCTTCGATAATCAAAGTATCTCGCCCGATCCGCAAGGAGAACCGACACAGACTTGTTACTGGTTCCGTACACCGTATGAAACTGTACCGATAAACCGCCGATGGTCGGAGAAAACACGATGACGAAGGCAGAGGTTGGTCAGGAAAGGAAACGCATTAAATGGCAAAGAAGCGAGGTCAGAAGCGTGTGTGAACTCTCGAAAAGAGTACGAAGAACTAAGAAAGAGAGAGAGAGAGAGAGAGAGAGAGAGAGAGAGAGAGAGAGAGGGAGGGAGAGGGAGAAAAGTGGAAGACTACAGGAAGAGAAAAACGCATCGAAAACGAAGAGAAAAGCGAGGTGAAACCCACTCGGTGGAATTTCTCTTTCCGTCTTCGAATGTTATTTGTATCCGTCCTCTTCTTCGCCTCGCTTCCCCTCTATATGGTGTTCCTTGTTTTCCTCTTTCTCTGCCATCTTACTCGATGGCGATGGGCTGAAGAGCGCTGCTTTGAGCTATTTCACGAGTCGGTATATCCGTGGATAATGGCGGTCTCTGGCGACTTATTAGAAATCTCAAAGAAACGACAGTATCGGAAAGGAGAGTCGATGAATATATCATCAGGATGTAACATGGCCTGAGAAAAAATAATACGATGGAGCCTCTGTACTCGACTTGTTTCGACTCAATTTCAATCGAACGTCTGTTGCTCGAATCCACTTGTTTCAATTTCTATTGCACGAGCTCCAATTATATTTATTATATTACAGTCGAGGAACGAGTAACAATTTACACAATTTAACGTGGAATGGAGTTCTGCCTGGTATCTTTGAAAAACAGAACAGCAAACAATCTTCGAGCGCTCCTCGTCAAAACCACCCCTTTATTGCCAGTTTTCTCAACTCGACAAAGGAATTCGAACTTCCTTGCCCGGCCGAGAATTCTGCGGAACAATGTTTTGGAAAATTTTTGAAAAACCAGAGAACCCAAGCAGTTTCGCAACATTCGTCAGAATCAGCCCTGTATATTTCGCAACTCGACGATAGAGTTTAAACTTCCATCTCCTCCAAGAATCTTGCGGAACAATCTTCGAAAATTTTCAAAAAACCAGAACGACAGTGTCTTCGATCCAAGGCAGGATACATACGTATCACGATATTCCCAGAACCACCCCTTTATTTTCCGCAATTCGAGGATAGACTTCAAACTTCACTCGACAAAGGAATTCAAACTTCTCCACTCTCCAAGAATCCTGCGGGACAATTTTCGGAAATTCTTTTCGGCAATGTATCCAACATTCGTCAGAAGCAGAGCCCTTTATCGGCGGTTCGTCCGCAACTGGGTGGCAGAGTTCGAACTTCACAAGGCCTGGCCGCTGGCGTGCGACACCTTTAAATTCGAGGCGACTGGCACAACCTCTGTACGACTAAATCGCTCGAAAACTCGCGACACAGAGGATCGAATGCCCATCGCTACACCATCCCGGTCCCTTCGTCGTCTCCCGATCCGACTCCCAACTCTGTCTCTCTCTCTCTTTCTATCGTTTTCCCTCTCCTGGATTCGGACCCCATCGTCGACGTTCTGCTCGTCCCAACGCTCTCCCACACGCCGCCCCGGCTTCTCGTCCAGCGTTCAATCGAGCCTCCTCCCTCTCTCTCGGCGCTCTCTTTCCCACCGTGTCTCTCGCCACCCCTCGCGTCTCGCGCCGGCTCCACCGCTCCCAACCGAGTCGCAAGCTCGCAGTCCGCCGGCGACTCTTCAATGAGAACGACGGCTCCGTGGCTGGGCGAGTGTTCTCACCGGGTGTCACGTTTCCGTCGACCGAAATATGTAAATGCGTGTGCCCAAGAGTGCGTGTCCCTGCTCGATCCACCAACGATCCACCCGTCATCGAACTGGGGGAGAATCATCCACGGGAGGTTCAGCTCATCTCGCCTCGTCTCGTCTCATTTCGTCACGCGTCGTGTGCCGGTGTTCCGCTCGAAAATTTTTCCAACGCCGCGCCTCGTCGTCGCTCACTTTTGCACGCCGCGAGTATCGTCGACACATCGTCGTCCACGTTTTAGGAAACACGGATCGTCGTTGATTCGACCACGAAGATCGTTTCTACTCTTGGTACGCAGCTCCTCTTCTCGCGGTCTGTGAGAATCGTTGTCGCCGACTCTCTGCTGTTTGCTCTCGCGGGGCAAACAGAGTGTACGTTCCGCGATAGAAGGGAAGGACCGACTGACGACGAAGGGTTGCAGCAGATAAACGTAGGGCGAAGTATCTTTCGCGGTACGGCTAGACCGAAGAATCTCGACGAGTTTGTGGTTACTCGGAGGTGGAAATACTCGGTGGTCACGTTGCGATCATTTTTTGCGGGGCTTTGACTTTCACCTGTCTTTCTCGTTCTCGCGCTTTCGGTGTAGGGTAGGTACGACGAGGGCTCGTGAATCGCTTTCTTTAACGCGAGAACGGTAAGATCGTTGAAAACGTCGAGGGGGGATTTATCTGCAAACATTTTTCCGTCTGTATTGCATTGACGAAGAGGTAATTAAAGGGCTGTCAACGAATGCCACGAAGGGAAGTGGAAACGGCTCAAACATCGCGAAACCTCGTCAAAAAGGGGTGAAAAGAGAGACCGGCTGACCCGTGAAATATTCTCGTGGTTGCACAGAGACACGGTGTAAAGCCGGTGGTTCGATCTAAATTTAAACGATGGCGGAGTCACGTTTCAAAAACGTTTGAACCTCGTTTACCTGGCGTGCACGGCCGAGCGAGTTTGACAAAGGCAGGCACAAAGTTACAGAGGGTGATGAGAGTCGGCAACTTTCTTACCGAGGACTTTTCATCTCGCGACCCGTCGGTCCAAACGGAGAAAGGGAATTGGCTGGCGCCTTCCTACTACGTGTTACGCGAAAACGCGCAATTCTCACGCCGGCCAGGGGGTGAGTTTCGTGCGTTAACCCACCGTGAACTGCGAGGCCAACGTGCACGCGGCCTAGTCGAATCGCCTTTGTCATCTGTGAAACATGCATTCACAGACTGTTTCTGACATTTCGTTTGTGGAAAAATTGCCCCGTAGCGTGACTTCTTCTTCTCTCGTTCCTTCATTTGTTTATTCGTTTCACGGGTAATGACATGTCCTTTGTGACAAACTTCCGTTCGCTGTTAAATCTACGACGATTGTTTCCTCGAATGATTGAAACAGAAGAAGAGTTGTCAGAAAAATTAGCAAAATATACAAGATTGATATTACGAAAAATTGTTTGATTGAAATGTGTAAGTTTGTGACGGTTGAAAAGATGCTAGAAAAATTCACCAGAGAGCGTACAATTATAATGAAAAAAGTTTACACTTTTATGTAAATCGGAGAATGTCTCGACAGTGACTCACGTTGACGACTAATGGCCGATTTTATTCCGTCTTCCTGTCTATCATCTTCGTGACGTAAAGGAGCTTTTTAAAAAGATGGACGATCCCTCGCGAAAACGAAACAAAATAATAAGAAAGGGAAGCTGTTCGTTTCTTTTATGAATATCACGCGCTAGTGCAATTGGTGCAATCTCGTCGCTGATCAAGGCGAAACACTTCGGTGCAAAGTGGACTGAGAAGTTGATGAAGATTCATCCGCGGTAGTAAGTGATTCATGGTGACTCGTGTTTTCGCCAAGGAAACGAATGTAAGTGTCAGAAACATTATCGAGCCCGGGCGGAAGCTCCAATTGTGGCAATTCCCCCCTCTCCTATCACCATTCATTCGGGGTCTCTCGCTCCTCGGAAGAAGAATGCACTCGTGGCTGCGATTCGTGAAATAGGAACGAACGAAGAGGGTGTGTAGAGCCGCGAACAGCTACCGCAGGCACCAGCCATAGACGTCTCCGACTTTTGATCTTCCGTTGCGTTGCGCCTCTCGTCGGTATCAAAGGCCTCGATTGTTGAAATCGAGAGAAAATCGATGATCGACGTCGAGGCATAATACGCGTTATCCTCACTCTCCCGTTTCCCTCCCGCCCGAGCGAGCGAGGGCGAAGAGGGAGGAGAGGGCACCGATACACTCGCGCCGCGATCGATTTCACTCCGGTTCTAACGCTTCCGAGCTTCGCGTCATCGACGACGATCCTCAACCCGAACGAGGAGAACAACGAACGCAGTGACGTTCTCGATTATTATCGATCATAACGGCGCGTGCTATAGCGATTTTCGTCGTTTCGAGTGCGTAGGCGCGACCCTTCCCCCCCGGGCTCCGACGTGACAAATGCCCGCGCGATTTTTCGTCCACCACGCTCGAGTCTGCCATTCCGTGGAAAGAGATCGCGCGGATAAGCGTGTCCCGATTGAACGCGTTCGGCTCGCGGATAGTGGCCCGGCCACCCGGAGTCGTTACACGGGTTTCCTCGCGCGGAAGTGACGTACCGTGACAAATGAAGCGCCAGGATATCCAGTCCCGCATCCAGTGGTTTCGTTCCTAGGCACTATGGCCAGTTTGCATCTCGTTCCCCCTGAAAAACTGGTTTAGAAAACTGTGCGCTGTCGTTCGAAAGTTTAGAGCTTTCGAAATAACGATGTATGTTTATCGCAATATGTGACAAATCTCGCAGAAACGTATATATAAAGTAAAATTCGTTTCGTCAGAAGGGTTAGAGGTGCTCCGATTCCTTTCCGAGCAGGAACTCGATATTTCTTGTTTAGAAATCACCTTCGTGACCCAGTGAATCCGTCGTGGAAAAACAGATACGATAAAGAGGCAGTAATCGGAGGGGAAAAAAAGATGGGATCCACTCGACGGGAACGTTGTCAAAGGAATGAATCAACGCGTCGCTCGTCGCATAAATATGTATACGCGACGTATTTGCATCGTAAACGCGGTGACGATCTACGGATCGCGATATCGCGACGATCAACGCCGAGAACAACGGACGGGGACATCGCTGACGTCACGAGACTCGGAATTCGTCGGACGAAAGAACGATAGCCGGGATAGCGGTGTTTCGTTGCCGCCTGAATTTTGATCGCGTTCCTTCCGTCACATTTTAATGCACCACCACGCATCCGGGCATCGCGCGCGTGCATTCTTTTTCGACGAGTCTCTCCTTTTCTGAGAGAGAGAGAGAGAGAGAGAGAGAGAATTTCTTCTTTAGTTCGAATCCTCAGAGACCTCTGCTTCCATGGTTCTCGAACACCAACCGCGTCGATTTCGTTTCTTTTTTCGTGTCTGATCAGCGTCTGTCTTGATCTACTTAAGAGAGAATTTCAACAAGTTATAAAACTTTCGAGTCGAGCAGATCGCACGTAATTTGTTCCTTTTTTTCTTTTTTTGAGCGATATGTAATTTTAGGGGATGAAACTTCTTAAAAGAGACAAGATTTTTCTTTTCGAATTATTCTCGGAGTAATGGGAGATGTGTCTCACGCTCTGTTTGCAAATTAGAAATTTCGAATAATTGCGAATATTTTCCTACACGAGTAGAGTAACGTAACATCCACCGTGATTTTAGAACGTGAAATTTCCCCTTGAAAAAGACACGGAATTTTCTTTTTCCACGATCATCTGAAGAACAAAAATGACAAAAATTTAGGAAATGGTTGGACATTCTCTATTACTACTTGTTGAAAAGGGAAACATTTCACTAAAAAAAAAAAAAAATCTCTCCTGCTTTGAAACCTCTTAAAATTCAAATTCTCTAGACAGAAAAAAAAAGGGGGGGATTACGTTCGGGGCGCCAAGAATCTCCATTACCACCTGTTAGAGAGGAAGGAGAAAAGTTGCAATAGAATCCTCCTTCGAGAAATCAATGTTTCGCCTATCCGTGAACTCTGAAAATTCAAACTCGGCAGAAAAGGAGAACGGTGATCGCGTGGAAGCTCCGTTATCACCTATTAGAAAGGAAAGCCGGTCTAAGTTAATCATCCGTTCAGGTAAATCCGACACCGCGTTACTTGCAAAGTCCACTAAGGGCCATTAAACTTCTGGCGACGATCCTCAGAATGTTCCCAGTTTCCTACTTGCTGCGACGCATCGACCGGTATCGTGCGTCGCGCCTCGAACGATCAGCGATCAGCACCATAAAACCGAGGTAGCGGGGGGAGTTGCCAACGTTTTACGGCTTCATTAAGGCGCCGTTACGAGGTGGATACCAGAGGCTGAACAAAGTGAGCTGAACGGCGCCGCGATAAACCGCGCCGATTTATGAATACCGAGGAGAGCCTTAACGACCGTTGCTAATCATTTCTAGGGCGGCGGGATGGTCCTCGTATCTGGCGCGATTACCGCGCAAATTCGAAAAGCCGGGTGCGGAAATGGCCGGAGATCGATGAAACTCTCCCCGAGTGAGGATCGATATGCTCTTCCTCGGATGGATCGACATGCTCGGAGAAACGCGCCAACGAATAAAATAAACCGCTGCTTGCGGCTTTAGGAACGCATTAGCCCGCTTTAATGGGGCAACGAAGCTACGGTTACGCGCAGTTTCACCGTGAAAAATCGTCCGTGTTTGGCCAGAGAGTTACGTTGATTATTTTTTTCTAATTCGTCGAGATACGAAATTTCGACGATAAGTTTTCTTTAAGAGATTACTCACTGTCGATAGATGAATTTTTTGGTTTGTATTCTATCGATTTTGCTCTTTCAATTAAAATATTTGCTAATTTACGTATGTCAGAGCATGTTTCTTAGAATATTACAAAGATTAAGATCTAACACCTTTGTAAAAAGTTTCGTTTAGAAAATCAATGTTCCTATCACTGACCCTTAAGATTCAATTCTATCAGGGGGCAAAAAAAAAAAAAAAGAGGAGCGCATCTATATCGGTAGAAAAGAAAGGAAAGTGTGAAATTTTCAATTCTTTTTCCATTTTAAAACACCGCGGAAGCGCAAAGTTTTGATCGATGAAACGACAAAATTTATTTAACCGTGGATAGGTAGATTTTCTAGTTGGAAAACCAGCTGGCTTTCCAACAGGCGAACGGTATTTCGATGCGGGAAATCCCCCGGCGCGTCAGCGCACGCGCGCGAACTTCAATTAGCGGTCGCTGGCAATTAACAATGTACACGATACTCGTTCGCCGTGACCGAAAATTCGGAGGAACAGCGGATACGCCGCGAATTAACGATTAAACTCGATCGAATCGCCCCTATCACCTCCATTTTTCCCTCCCTCGACCTCCGCGCGGCCATCCCGTGCTCACTGTCGCCGATTTATCTTCCCGCATCCTTTTTCCGCCATCCGTGGAACAATTTCGGGGCAACTCGCAACAGGGGGTGGAAAACAACGAATTTCATTCAATACTTCCCATTCCGTGCAATTCCGCTGCCATTTTCTCTCTCCCTCTCTCTCTTTCCGTCTCTGTCTCTCTTTCTCTCGACAGACGAATGCGTATTACTTTAATCAATCCTGTCTAGCTAACGATTCGATAATTTCTCCCCGCGAGTCGGATTAATCCGCGAACACTCGTGGAGCACTTTTTATGGATATGTCGAAAAATTTGTACAACACGAGACTCGACTGTCGTGAGATCATGTTATGTACGGTAAAATTAAAAGGTTTGACTATCTATGTTTCCATTTAGTTCTATGTGTCCAAGTATCTATGTGTCTATTTAGTTTTCTCGTAAAAGCCATGAAAGTATTTTAAATAGACGATTTTTGCATTTTTTTTTTTTTCATTTTCTTATCAATCCACGGTCTATTAATTTTAGACTTTCTATCTTGTAATAGTAACTTTCTGATTCACATTTTGAAACGTGTATTACATTAAATGATACGAGTGAAATTGAATTTCAGAAAACGACGCGTCCGATCCTGTTCCACTTTCATTTGAGAAATTTTTCGCGACACTTTTCGTAAATCACCGTGCATCTTCGCCCTCGCAGAGAACCCGCAGGAATCGTCGTCACTCGGAACGACCTAATCAACCAAGCGCAATTCTTCCATTCACCTACGATTAATTACCATGAACAATGCCTCGCGAAAAATCACCGTATTCTTTATCCCGCAGGGAGAAGTCTAGAAGAGCCGCGACGTATCCACGGCAATCATCCTAGGAATTCGACCAATCTCCCGGGCAGAGGAGGAAGAAGAGCCAACGGGGAGAGCTGGAAAATACCTGGATTCTTAATCACGAGAGAGAATTCAGCGAGGAAAACGATCGATGCGTCGAAGATCGGCGATCTTTCCACCGCGATTCCGCTAGAATCCGACCACGTCAGACGAGCTCGTCGGTGCGAAATCTGGTAAACGAAACGGGATTGATAGCGAGCCAGATTCACGAGGGATGAGAACCGCGCGTAAAGGCGCGCGAACGTTTCATCCGCGCGTAGCCGGACGAAAGTAGACGATGCTTGACCCTGCACTCGTATCGAGTGTTTCTGCTTGGAGCGGCACGGTGACTGACGTCCACCGACCGGAACGTCGTTGAATCATCGATCCAACCGGCGGACCCGGCTTGGGCGAAGTCGTCGCGCGACTGTCGCGCAGCGATCATGCCGATCGAACTGGCCAATCGTTACTAGAGCGGTGACAGCGATGGCTGGCCGTGTTACCGATCCGGGGACGATTGATCTTGGTGATCGCGCGTGCTAGTGACTTGCCTTAGTGTCAAAGTGGAATTACGCCGGTGTGCATCGCCATGTCTTCGCGACGTGCTCCACGCTTCTCGCCCTCTTCCCTGCCTACTTTCACGGGTAAGTGTCGCCCCGCTTTACTTGCGCGCTTGCAACTGTTGCTTTGTCGTGCTTCGCGAAATGCACGACTTCGCGAGATCTGATGCCGAATTTCGAGTAGTTGAACAGCATGCTGGTGTAGATATGCCTGTTAGTTTGTTAGAGAGCTTCCTGGAGAGATTAATAATTGAGAGAAATTGCATTCCGGTTTCTCTCTGATAGAAATTTCATAACAAAGTTAAAAGTTCCCGAATTAAATTGTGGCAAATGATTGAACCACAGGTCACAGGTTGAAATTCATTAAATTAATTGAATGAAGAAATTTCTTTCTTTTTCAATCACGGTAGACAACATGAATTGCTGCAGATATTTAGACATAATTTCGAATTTTCGATAAATTTGAAAAATATATCGTCGAAACGAACTTTTCTCGAGAATGTCGCGAAATATTATCAAAATTTCATCCCGCACTCTGGCAGAATGGACGCAGCCTCGCCAATTCGATCCGGAAGTCGTCGAGTATCGCGTCGAGTATCAAAAGATCGACAGGACTGACACGTTCTCGGACACGGGCCACGCCTATGATCGAACGATCCACCTCTGTTTCTTCCGCGTGTTTTGCTTTGACGGGGGCTTAATCCGTTTATATCCGCGAGGTCGAAGGCTCGCTACCGAAAAGAGAACCGACTGAAAGTTTCCAATCAAACGGATCGCCCGTCCATTTGCCGGATAACTAGGTTTTTCCCTTTGTTTGCGAATCCGAGCCCCCGAATTTCCCGCGTTACCGTCAGCCGGAATAAGGCTAAAAATCTCTTTGCGTTTGTTTATTTTTCCCCATCGTTCCCCGTGTGTTCACAGTCCCTGGCGACCGCGCTGGCCGCGGCTAAGTGCGTTCGATGCGCGGCGTGCGTCGATTTTCGATCCGGGAAAAGGAAATTCGATCATCCAGTCGGTACACGCTGAATTTTCATCCGCGTGGAACGTTTCGTTGAAGCTTACGCGAATGAAAAGTTCGATCGTACGTGAAAGATCTTGGATGCTCGGACATAGACAGGATTGGCGTTCTTTAGAAACGATGGTCTCGTTTGGACAGAATTAAACGTGAACAGAGTAGGCCAAATGCTTCTTCCTCCATTTATTTATTTTTTTTTTTTTTTTAATAAACCATCGAAATATAAGAATTTTCGTTAATTTTAAGTTGAGCTTTTCATTACGTTTCAAAAATTATTTCTTTCAAATGTTGATCGCCATACATAATAAAAAGAAATTACGGATTTATTTTAGCAGAAAATGGTTCTTGACCCACCCTATATGTTTCACAATAATCACCGTCGTAGCTGTGAAGTATTTCGCTGAAACTCGCACCACAGAGCGCAAACGAAAATTTAAACGTAAAAGACTTCAAATATTTGGACAGTCGAGTCAAGTTAGAATTGAACTCGAAACTCAACGTACAGTGTTCGACGTTCGATGCACGCGGACGGAAATCGAGAACGAAAATTCGGAAACAGAGGATCTTAAATATTTAGATAGACAACAAGAGAAAGAGAGAAAGAGAAGAACACCGTCGAGACAGGTCTCAAAGGGGAACGTGCGACATTCGACGATATTCACGAGGAAAAGTGCGCACCATACATCAAAGTGTCGGAAATTGTTTTACATTTTACTCGTTCGCGGATCACACACGGGTCCCCGGTGCAGCCGATCGAGAGCACGTAATCACACTTCGCACGCGTGACAAACGCTATTTGTCTTCAAACTTTATCGTCCTCTCCACAAGTGCATGCGAATGCGCCAACTTCTTTCGCCACGTCTCTTTCCCTAAACCGTTCGTTCCACTTTCCAGCGTGGAGAGCGTTACCAGATCGATCGATTGATCGTGCAAATGCACGTGAAATTGCGATTGTTTATTTGCTTTGTTTATCGCCGCGATACAAAGCCGGTATCGTGAAGTACAAAAAGAGGAACAAGCTTTCACTTGTACATTTTATAGACAACCATTCACCAGAGAAATCCCCTGAAATGTCTCGTTTTTCTCTTTTTTTAACCTATAGAATAAATTTTAAAAAAGAAAAACAAGTTTCCACGATTCTGAAATTGTATGTATTTATGGCGAGGAGAATTTTCGGCGATGAGAATTTGAAAAAAAATGGAAGCTCGCTGAAAAATTATTTTTAGTGACGGAATATTACAGAAAATACTATGCAATATTCTCTTTCGCGCACAGTGTGTATTCCGCGCAATTTTCCATTGAAAATCCCAGTTGATGCGTAAAAATTCGCGAAAAGATCGAAAAACCAAGAGAGAGAATGAACGCGCATAGAATGGAACAGAGTAGCGTTGCGTAAGCCTGAAATTACACAACGCTCGGGCAGGAATTCGTATCGTAGAACCGATGGCAATTAGAAGAACGTTTCATCGCGTCTATCAACAGGATGCTCCTCGTCAAATTTACAAAACAAATTACCGAATAGTTGAAAATCCTTCAAGTAATTGATTGCCCCTACCCCACCCTCCTCCGATTACATCGTTAAATAATCCGGTTAGAGCAGAAACGATTCACGGGCATGAAAATTGTCCGGCTCGAATTTCGCAGACAACAGAGAGAATTCGCTTATTTTATCGAACTCGTGACGCCGAGATAACGACCGCGTTTCACGGATGAAAATGAAATAGTTAATTGGATATTTTCCGATTAGATTCCGAATTTCGCTAGTTCCGCGACAAACGATTCATAAAACGATCGGTTCGAATTCGGTGTCGTTGGAACTCGCCAGAGAGTGTTTACACTTCTGTTTTGCAGGTATTGAAATATTTCTGAAATCTCAAGTTAAAAGATACCAAAGTTGTAAAATTAGCAAAATTGTTAAGATCGATTATTACAATTGAAACGTGTAATAATACTCTCGTACGAGGAAGTATTAATTCACAATTCTTTATCTGTCTGTATGTTGTTTACTTTGGCCATGATTTTGATCAACGTCGACGTTGAGAGAATGGAATAAGATTTAGATTATAAATGATAAAATTTAAATTAGAAAAATGATTTAAATTAGAAAATCACGATTATAACATACATAGTTATTACTATGTTATAATTTAGTGTACTGTTACTCTAGCTCTATCGATTAAATGAATTTTTAACAAATTGTAACTGGACATTTATTTAACTTTAGATTAATCGCCATATTTTATACAAAAACGTCGCGAGAGTGTACGTTTGCGAGAACAATTAGAAAATTAATGAACAGTTCTAGAGCTAGCTGCGAATCTCCTTCCGCCGCGACAAATACTCCTTCCACTAATTAAACAAATAGACGCGCGAATCAAGTGCGAACAAGTTATGGAAAGCTGTTCCCCTTTGTGCAAATAATTGACTTCAGTCAATATTTGGACATACATCGGCATTTATTTTGTTCTCGCCTATGGAAATTGCTTCGAGTCGGGAAACAATGACGTGTAGCCTTGACACAACGTTGGCGGAGGAGAATTCACGAAATTCCGTTCGAAAATAACACTTGAGAAATAGAAAATGAAAAGCTTATTTTGCCACGTGTTTCTTCGATATTGTAACGAAATAAGACTCTTGTGATTGTGTTGATAAAGTCAGAAATCAAGGAATAGATATAAAGGCTACAAAATAAAATCTCTAAGTGAAAGCTACAAGATTGCAAAGAGATGAATAATTTACTATTCGAAACATGCACCGTATATTTCCAAAATTGAATCAAACGGAGTGATTACGAATGAAATACTTCGAGCACTGTGTGTACGATGCTTCAACTCGAGCAATTCTAGCCGCAGAGACAAAAATTTCAAACCTTCAGCTTTCTGGGAGAAAGACATTTCGGGCGAAGTTCGACCGCCCTGTGGTACACGAAACTGCAATTAATTAAACTGTTTGTAAATTGCTGGTATCGGTTGAAGAATTGCCCGGTGACGTTTGAATTGTGGTCCGGTAACGCGATATTTGCCGGCCACTCGAAAGTGCAGCACACTTTTGGTACGGGGCCAAAGAAACGTCCGCGACGCAAGACGACGTCCCACCATTTCGATGCATTACCGTATAATTTATCTACGGACGGCGAAAGATTTATGCACGGTTTGTGTCGTGCATTGCGAAATATGAGTTTACATTGTGCGCTGGCGACGTGCAACGGAGCGGGGATGCGCTCTTGGATTAATATTGACAGTCGACGATACTCGCCTTTCATTTGAAACAAAGATACACGGTGGTAAAAGATCTGTCTACTCATAGGGACATCCGGCGTGTGGTGAACGAGTACGTACGTTTGTTTCTAAAGCAATCCCTCCACGAGTAAACGAACAAAATTTCGAGATGAGATACTCATAGCTCAATCATAGCTATTTACTCCGGTATTTCAAAATATTAATAAGCTCACTGTCGGACGATGCGTTAGCCGCAATTGTATCTAAAAATTGTAAAATAATATATTTCCAAACATGTGTTTTTATCTTTATCGTTTCTATATTATTTTAAAAACCCTTATCTCTATTGTTTCAATTACCACGCATACTACTCCCTTTTAGTAATCGTAGGACAAATACAATATTCGTATAATAAAAATAGTACAATATAAATTATAAATTATACGAAATGAATATAATACGTGCAATATAATTAAATGCAATGAAATATGAAACATATTTTATACTATTTAATTTAAAGACTCTGCTAATATATTAATATATTGTATTACAGAATATGTATACACGATAATCCACGATAAGTGCTGAAAATTATTAATAAAAATGTCCTAAGAGACTTTTGAGCGAGAGTATTTTTGTGACTCATATGACTACATAGTAGGAAATGGCCTGTTCACAATCCAGAGCTACATATGCGTGACACATTATAACCACTCAGATCTATTTAACACATTTTAACAATACATATACAAAAACGTATATTACACCACACGAAACTGTGAAAATGTTGATACTTGAATTATGAAAAACGACAACAGCAAACGTCTCACCTGCTGTAAAATAAATCACTT